AATGACAAAAAGTGATTCTCTCAAAAAATGTCAGTTACATTACTTTTTGCTCCAAGGTGACGATATGTCTATTATTAGAAATATCACAGCTATATATTAAAAATGTGCACTTAACAAACTGTGCTAATAAAAAGACTAGAGATAAGTCCACACTACACAGATACCCCACATGATTACCACCAATTACAACACTGACCTGAATGATGCATTAAAACCTTATTTATACATGGCTTTCAAGTTTATTTATATATGTATGATCATAAGACTTATAATTCCTGACTCTAAACTGGTGGCAAAGGCTTATATCACTTTTGGCTCGAGCAAGTTAAGGGTTAATTTTCGGTAAGAAAATATTCCAAATTGAACTCATCTAATCATGCCATATACCGGTAAGGTAATTATAGAGGCATAGATTAAATTTTTACCATATCTTTTGACCCAATGACCCCCACAACACAACAGAAATGCAAGGAATACTACTGGTACAAAGTGAAATTTGACAGAGGTAACTTAGTTTTCTTTAATTTTAAGGCAGAAACCACTTTCTGTTTTCAATGTCAACCCCTGCCCTCTTGATGCTTATATAATATAATAAGCAACTATCTACTCTTATTCCATAAACAAAACACAAAGATTGACTGTTGTCCAAAACCATATTCATTTAATGAAAACTTTCATAAAGTTAACCCATTACTTCATATACACGCCTTTTAACGCCTTTTTCACCCCCCCCCCTTTTTGTTGTCTCAAATGATGAAAAAATGCCTTATCCAGGCCCTAAACACTTGTTTTTGTTTGAGAAATGTTGTTAAAAAAATTGACCTCTTTTTCGGCGCGGCCCCCCAACCAAAAGATACATCAGGGGGTTGCCAGAAGGGGGATGTGCCCCCTTCTGTTTTGGGGGGTTTGAAGGGGGGCGGAGTCCCCCTCATCGCCAAGAAAATTTTGGACTTGTGAGAGGCTGTAAATGACCCCAGATTGATCATAAGGTAACGTGTAACCAACGCTGAAAAGCATTTGACTCTATCTCAATCCATTGATAAGTTGCAGCACTTGGAAATCAATTTTGATGGAAAAAATCAACGCAAAATAGTGATTTTTGGCAATTTTGAGATGTCCCCTCGTTGCCATGGTAACAGAAAATTTAAGTCTGAGCATGTTGTTGCAAGGACAATGGTTCAGTCAACATTTGTGCCAAGTTTGATTAGTGTTGAAGCAGTTTTTATAGTATTATAGCAATTTGAACTTGTAACGGGAGACTTTTCAATGAAAACAGCCATTTTTCACAAAATGCTCATGAAGCAATGGGTTAAACACCACAGTCACCTTGAACTTTGACACTATGCCAACAAACACTTGAGAGTCTTCTAAAAAAATCAAAGACTTGTTATAGATATGCGTATTTTCTTGTTTGGATATAGGACATATTATATATATTATTATTCAAGTGTTTATCCATATAAAACTATACTGAAACAGGAAAAAAAATTCACTTGATATTTTAATGAGTAATGGTCTCTTCAAAAGTTAAAGTGACACTGAAAGAAAGTGACACTAAAATATTGATGTAGTCTTCCTAGTGTATGTCAATAGGTTTTCTCCTCATTTTCCTCTTTAACAACCTATTAATAGCTGAATACATTTCCTTATAAATAAATATGAAATGTACATTTTTTTACAAGCAGTTTCAAATATACATGTAATTATACTTCCTTATTATGTGATAAAAATTCCAGCCTGTTTTTTATCACAATTGTGTTAATACTTAATAGGCTTATAATATTGTCATGTTAAAACTGCACACCTACAAATGTACAGATGAATCAAAATATTTGAACAAAAATCAAACTTGAGAAAAATGTATTAAGATTTTAATAAAAAGTAAAAGGATTCAGGATTCAAGTCATATTATACATGTTACATGTATGTGCAATTAATGACTGATTTTTCAGCATCACCATATTTTTACTGCATGACTAATGCATTCAGGGTTATTTTTGCATGTTTTAGCCTCTTTTTCAAATTTACATATTTGTAAATGCCGTTTGCAATGTCCAAACTTTTTATCTCTATTCACACCGCAATATTTTACTTTTAAATACATTTTCAAATTTTCAAGAAAAAATTAAGCATAACTCTGCAAGCATGCTGCTTTAAGGAAAATAACCTTAAAAAGAAATACACTGTATAAGAAAAAATATAAACTTAAAAAAAAGCATATGCATATCATTTGCAATTCATACAGTTTATTTGTTTTCATCCATATTTATTGTACTATTTACTTACATGTAGCAAGCAAAATCACTAAAATATTCACCTGGTGCTATACAGGGCCTTAAGTTTGCTTTGTAAAATATATGTAGCATCAGTTCTTAATGATACAAACCATTACAGAACAATTACCGGTAGTTCTGGACCAGGTCAATGCTTTTTTTTAGTTTTCGGACCTTGAGTTTAGTTTTTTTGCTTAATTTAAGTAATTATAAATGCAAGGAATTCATATCTCAAAAATCTGATTTTTACTTTTGGTTTATGTTTTTCATTTCACTTTAGGTCACAATTAAAAATTTCATACAAATTCAATGTGATAAAAAAAAAAGAGTTTTGTTAATTTTGTCAGTAAGTTAGGTAAAGATACTTTAATATTTTCACAACCATGGATAATTTCTCATAATTATGACATTAGAACTGGTTAAATTCAGGGAGCAGACTCAAAATTATAAGCTGCAGGAATTGATCTTACAGGAACTTCACAGAGGATGAAAAGTCTAAAAAAATAACATCTGAATTTCATACATAGATCAACTAGGGCGCACAGAAAAATATGCAAAAGATTACCCTGTATATTAAAGGAATACACTAACAATTTAATTGAAAATTGTATTTTTGTGTTATTCTAAGCCTGATTTGAGAAAAGTTAAAATGATTATTTCATTTCTAGGTCATTTTAAACAATCAAAATAATAATTCTGGAAAAACGGAACAAGTGAATAATCTGAGATTTTGTACATAGTTATTGGTTCACTCCAGATCTATCAGCAATTTAAATTTGAGGAAATACATCATAATCAGCCAGACTTGAAACAATTCTCTGCTTATCCATTCAATATCTAAATAATGAAAACCCAGGATCCCCCTGCATATATCTATTCTGCATTCATTTATTTAAATCACTCAAAAACACTTCAGGGGTTTTATTTATTTTATAACATTTTAGGGGGGGGGGGGGGATTATGCTATAGTTGGGAAATTATTCTAAAGTTGGGAGAAAATTTATAACTTTTTAGAAAGGGAATGGGCCCACTTTTCTGTCCAGCAATTTGCCAAATTGGCTTTAAAATCACTGAGTGGAGTCCCTTCAAATAAGTCGGTTTAAAACTAATGATATATTCTGTCAATTAAGCTACGCACATTATCATATGTACCTTGCTAGCCCATTGCTCGTATTTGTTCACTCACTAGACCAACTGACCTAGGAAAAAATATATGCCAAATATCCTTATTTTCACTTTCGGAAAATGAAATGACTGAATTTCAAAATGGACAACTTATGTGTCCTATATCCAGCAAATAAAATTACAAAACAACTTCATTTACCATTATTCTTTTTTCACTAAATACACTGTATTTACTAGTAGATACAATATATAGTAGGTAACCTGATGTTTCACCTCTCCCGCTATCTTTTCTACATGTAGACGTTTTGGTCCTGATTTAAATAGCTACATGTTTTAACATGGTGCTATAAAGGGATTAATCAATATGTGTGACATGACCTATGTTGTTATTATAGACTGATTGGTCAACTGATTAGATTATCTTGCTTGATCTTAACTATCACTCAAAGACAAAGGTGGCAAATTAATGATCATACATAGATCCTATTAATCTTTACAAAGAATCGGTGACTACACAGTCAGCATCAGTAACAACAGTTCTGGTACAGTGTAACAAAAACACAAGGCAGACAACAACGATTTTTCATCCTGCCGCATCACCCAAGAAAAACATCCTTGGTTTAAAATTTCAAAGAAATTAAATAGATCTACATGGATATGACCACAGGCGCTAGTCACATAATCATATATTTTACATAATCGGTCTATATATGTATATAAAGATATATCTTTATATACATATATAGAGCGATTATGTAAAATATTTGATTATGTGACTAGCGCCTGTGGATATGACTCAAACGCACAGAACACCACATTCTAATAATAAGAAATAAATGTGTTATTAATAAATCAACTCCAAGAGCACTGCAGGTTAACTTAACCCCACAGGCAAGACAAGCACATCAACCAACTGCGAGGACGAAAGAGAAACACTGCCTATTGAGCTAGCCGTTAAGACAGTGAATGAAATGTCTATAGACATTTTAGAGAAAAATCCAGTAAAATCTTAAGGGTGGCTTTATTAGTTTACAAAAAAGGTTCATTTATCATTCAACGTCATTTTGTTATTTCATACTTTCATACCAGGAGAAAATTCATTTCCATTTGGGATGGGACAGACTGATGTGATTATGGATGCTTTTATGTCCGAGAACCACTGCACATACACAGTGTGAGTAACTCGACAAAATATTTAGTTTATTTTAAGACATATTTTTATTAAAAGATCATTTTTCCATAAAATTAAAGAAAAACAGCCTTACCTCTAATGTGTCTTTTTAGTAAATAACAATTTGGTACAACTGAACAAACAACAAAATACAGTTCGATTTGCTATTTCTGAAGTTTTCCGTTTTTATCGTGATATTTCTTTAAACAAATGTTTGATCAGTCAGTGTGAAAAAAAATCATTAACTACTCAAGTTTGTTGAAAAAAGAATTCAATTCTATTGAAATTTTACAACAATTGAAAACAAAATGGGCATTGTTTTTTTCTTGTTTTCTGACTGTACCAAGAGAAATGCAAATCAAACAAGAAAAAAGTTTCTCCTTCCTGTTTTTTCTTAAGATTCTTTTGATTGGTTGAGATGCTGTCGCTCCTTACATTAAGCCAATCCCCGTGGTTCTTTTATCCGATAAATGCAAGAGCACCAAAATGGTTGAACGAGCATGTTATTGACAAAAATTTAAGAATATTGTAAAATACCTTTCATATAAGAGACGACATGTCGAACGCTCAACCTAATGCGAGTTATGGTACGTTGGTTCATTAAATGTAGACAGCCTCAACACTCGTGACAAATATTTTTACTTCTTCATGAAAATTCATCACTCCCCTGCATAAAACTGGCCCTACACTACATTATTGTTTTGTTTATGTACATTTAATGTACTGATATTTTATGTAATTGTATGCCTGAGAAGGCCCATGATTGGTAATAAAACATTATTCCAGGGTTCTCGGGGACGCTTATTTCGGCGTCCCGGTACGCATGTTTAATACAGCTGGACGCAAATATTTCAGAGCAAGGATTCCACGTACGTTTAATTTTGCCTGGGGACGCATAAACATTACCGATTGTTCACAACCACAAATACACAAATGCGTCAGCGCGTGTCAGTCTATAGGTAGGCGGTCCTATGCATATCGACCCGTGAAGCGATTAGCCAATCAGCGATAACGCTTCCGATCATTATCACGCAATAGTGATCAGACTAATGTATACACGCGCTGATTACCAGATATATAACACGAGGTGATAATTTTATATCTTTGATCAACAGTTGATTGGAAATTAGCAAATTTTACCTACAAAAGGATAATTTTATCGACTATTTACGCCGCAAGTTTAAAGACTGTTTTCTCAAATTACAAATGAGTGTAATTTTGAATGATTGTCGAATATTTTCGGCATTTTCTAGGCACAATTTTGCTTTAGTTTCATTCTTGCAAAACTTTTCTATAATTTAAGATATTGTGCCGAAATGCCAGGTACACATACGCTTTTATAGAATCCGAAAATTGATCCGGAACATCGGCGATTTCACGTTCGCCAGAAACCCTAAAATTTCGCAAAAATTCTCGGTTACCAAGCCAAACATGCGAATGAATTGTTCCTTTATTATTTAATCAACATTAAATCTTCAAATATCGATCTTCGATTTGTCCCCTTTTGAAGATATTTGCTAAAATAATTGTCGATCGGATGAATCTCTTACACACTGCGTGAAGCTGTACACGATTTTCCTATTCATTCCGCTAAACGCTGCCTATATACATTTACGTTTTTTTTTACAAATACAAACTTTTTGTCTTTAGAGTAGACTTTTTTAACCAGAATAAAATTTGTTTTGGTATAAAAGTGAAAAAAAAAACAATTTCCATGTGTTGATGCATTAATATGAAATAATTCCATAATAAATATTAACAACAAAACAATAATTATACTATGTAGTTCAGAGTTTCATTTGAATAACTATAAACTTTGGAAGTCTCTTGAAGATTCAAAATATCAGCAATGCTATTGTGAGCATTGAATGACTAATCTGTAAACATATTAATTGCGACGCGCTTTTGGACTCCAACTTTTTCAGGGTTGGGAGTCCATGGACTCCATGTTTTAAAGTCCTAATGAGAACCCTGTATTCTATTCTATTCTACAGGCTATAGGCTACAAAACGCGTATATATGTAAAATAAAGTGGTATTCATGTCCATAATAAATTAGAATAGTTATTGAAATTATGTTCTCCTATTTGTTTTTGTACCTTCAATATGAAATTAAGTGCTATCAATGGCGCGGAAATCTCTTGTGATTTAATACCAAACATGTTGGAAGTTGCTAGCAGTACAAGATTGTATGGCTAGCCAAAAGTTGTAGCCGTACCGAGTCACGTATGGCTAGCTATCTATCTTCCGTTAATGTCTAACCCCTCGCAGGGATATAGACATGCCGTACAGCCAGCCAGGACACACTGTATTGTGTACCCCGGGCCCGGTATGGCACTTTCAAAATTATATGTAAGTCGAAAATGCATATGTTATTTTGTGTCTTTAAATGAAGATTTTAACCAAAAACCCGCATTTTTCCTTGTATGTTTACTTTTATTAAGATTCTCCCCAATTTTGTCCACACAAAGTATAAGAACATGAAGGAAATGCAAGAGTTGTCATCTTGATAAAAGTGTCAAAGTTATATGACGCAACTTGCAAGTACATTGTATATGTGTATGCAAAGTTATATTTATGATTAAATGATAAATATTTTAGGTCGTAACATTGTTGTTTTTTATGCTTATGTTTTGTTGTTTTAATTTGTATGAAAGATGAATTATTAAATCATTTTTTGTTAATTAAGCACACAGAATAACGGCCAGAGAAGCTTGTTTCATAATGGCATGATCTTAGTGGAATTCAATGAATAAATTAGTACTGCACATTGAAAAAAAAAAAAATGGTGAAAAACAAAAACAATTGAGCCAATTATAGCAATTGTATTTAAATAGATACATGAACACAATCAATTAGCCTTAATTAAAGCCTTTTACAGGGACTTACAATAGAAATTTAGAATGCGTTTCACAGAACATGTAAACTTTCCTTAATGATGGACAAACTTTTACTAGCTGTCAGTAATTGATGCAATTATCAGAGCCCAACAACAATTATTTTTGGTGCTTTCTTTCATTTTTAAACTAAAAGATGTTGAAAGTTAAACTTATTGAAACAAAAAAAGAATTATTATGATAATCATGTTAACGATTTCAATTGATGTTATTCAACTGCAGCTAAACACTCTTTTTGTCTTGCCATCCTTGATATTTCCTGCCAATTAAAAAACACGAAGTGCTAAATGTTGACCATGTCAAGGGATTTACGTAACAGTTAGTTACGGGTTTGGGGTGTTGGGTCTCTACTAGTTAATAAGCAAATAAACATTCTTTTGTCGTTTTCTACTACTTGTTCCGTTTTTGGAAGACAACTGAAGCCACTATTAAAATCAAATCATTGCATTTCTTCAAGTGCTGATGTTCTGAACACTCAGTTCAGTTTGTTGTACAGAATTAATTTTAGTTAGATTGTGTAGGAAGTTATAAGCTAATAGACACACTCTAGAATCTGTTCCTGGAACCAAGGAATACTTAGCAATAAGTGTAAAGTTTCTAAAATTCTTGCTCAAGGAAACAACGACTTGCTTCTGATTGGGTTTGAAACCATGTCACCACATTCTGATTGTATCCAAAATACAATTTCACAAACTAATTAAAATATTCTGAAGCAGAAAAAGTCACTAAGCTATCCAGTGTTACTATCATCAGAAATGGTTATAAAGATGTTTTATGGTTCTTTGTTCACTAAAACGACATACCAACTGAATTTGAAGTATCGCTGAGAATGGTTATGGCCAATAATTTGCAATATCTTATGTCATTGTATTGTAAAGTTCAAGTGACTGCACATCCAAGTGTAGATGTTGATAATACATGTAAAAATTTGAATTCAAGTAGCAATGAACTTAGCAAAAAATATAGCTTAAGTTAAGGAAAATAGATAATCTCTCAAGTTATTCCTTTTTCTATTATTCTATATTTTTTATTCAGATTATTCACAGTATTCGGGCTATCAGTACCCAGCATATACTACTACCCCTGCATCAACTACAGCTGCTACGACAGGTTATAATTATGGCTATGACTACACACAGGCTGGTTATGGAAGTTATGATGGATACACTGGTAAGACTTTAAATAGTTAATAACTAGAAATGAAAAAAATTAACCCTGTTTTATATTTGAGAGTCAAAAACAACAGATTGAAGGCAAAAAGGGACTTTATCTTATAAGTCATTTGCCTTGTAGACAAGTAATTACTGTAGCAGGCAATATACATTAATGATTAAGCATCAATAAAGAGATTTAATTACAATTTTTTTCAGAAATGTACTGCACATATGATAAATGTTTTTAATTGCATTTGAATTTGTAGAGCTAACTCTAGAGGTCACATGACCAATTGGCAATTGACCTTAGCCTAAACTTCAGTTGCAGAAAAGCTACTCAGTCAATTTAGAGACGGCTTTTACAATGGTGCTTTACAGCATAACAAGAGCATTAGTTTTTACAAAATTTTGCAAGAAAACACTGCCAGTGGCTAAAACTCGGCTTGTTCTCACTAACAACTCGGCTTGTTCTAACTAGCTTGTTATAAATATTCTGAAAGGTTTCACGACCGTATATAAACAGTTGTTTGCAATATAACCCTCACCTAACACCTTTGGTTATATTTCCAAACAAACATTTATATACAGCCATATAACCTTTATGACTAATAATATACTTGTTGCCAAATTGTACGCCGTTATCTGACTGTTACCCCATTACAGCAGGTAGCTATGGTTATGGTCAGGGGTATGACTACAGTGCATATGGTTACTACAACCAGGCAGGGACCACCGCAACTCCTACTACCGCAGCTACACCAGTAACGTATGTAATAAAATTATCTAAAAAGCAATAAGGGGCCTTCTAGATTTAGTGAATTTGGTTGTCAAGTTCAAAATCATTTTTTCATCAGATTTGTGGTATTGAATCCTGCAATTGACATTGTATTAATTTCATATATGGTTTAAATTGTCCAGTAATGTACTTGAATGGTGTCAGGAGTTTCTATCATGATGCGTGCTAATGACAGAAAAATGCAGGATATTTTTATGTAATATCTATTTTTATCAATAAATGCTGAAAAAAATGCCAGACACTTTCTAGCTTATTGTTGAAATGACCTGTGACTGAATTTAAAAAACATTATTTGGCTTTTATGGAAATTTTAAGAAATTCAATGATTTGAAAAAAAAATACAGATGAACATTTCTATTGACTATTATTTGCATGTTACCTCTCACTTTTTGTAAAAACAAATCAAGTTGTGAAAACGAAACATCTCTGAACTGCCATATATTTATAACAGCCAGGGTTACTTAAAAACAAAACATACAAAAAATGTTCTGATGAAATGATGTTGACTCTTAACATATAATTTTAAAAACTGCAAGTTTGCTGTTAAACTTTTCTCAATATACCTATTGAAGCAGAGGAAAATGGCCTTGAAAGCTGGTATGTGAGAGAAAAAGTCACTGCGCTATAATTAATCAAATGGAATTCAGAAATGTTGACCAAGCTGGTGGTTTTCTCTATGTTTTCTCTAAGTTGTCATAATTTGTCTGAAGTTCAAATGAGACTGCTGGTTTGACAAGATTGTCAGCATATCTTATAATTTGTCACCTTAGTGCTATAACGTAATAAGTCCTTCTAAATTTAATAGCAGTTAATCAGTTATTGCACTGAGGTAACACATTTATAAAAGTATGATTCTTAGCTTGAGCTTTATGGATAATTTTTTTTTTTTCAGTTCTACAGAAGTGAAGCCGACTGATACATCCGCTAGTGTCTCACTCCCCGTGACAGGTCAGTATGCCTATTAGTCTGTAACCCCTATTACAAATAAACCAACCTAATAATTAGTTACTCTTTAGTGCAGCAAGGAAAGGGGGCCATTGTGGTTAAGGTGGTTGGCTTCAAACCACTTGCCCTTCATAGATGTGGGTTCAAACCCTATCAGGGACTTTGGATTCTTTCATGTGAGGAAGCGTTGATGCTAGCTTATGAAATGTTGTTGGTTCTACTGAAGTGACCGCTTTGGCCGCATATAATGCACAAGGGGCACCTGATGCCTTTCTCCACAAGTGAAACTACAATGTTGTTGTATAACCTTCACAGTGTTGGTGTGACCTAAGGTAGTCTTATTGCAATGCTTTCCCACCAAAATATTTTTAATATCATAATAAATCAGTCATTTCCGGAACATTATTTTCACAATCTTCAGTATTCAATAATTTTTAACTTTTTATAACAGGAACTTGTATCAAAATGGTGTGAAAAGCTCAATGTAACATTAAGTGAAGAAGAATTGAGTTACATTTTTTCTTTACCTTTTAAAATATCAAATGATTCAGGCCTTCAATGGTTTCAGTACAGAATTAATCATAGAATAATAGCAACTAATTCATTACTTTTTAAAATGAAATTAAAAGATAACGAACTCTGTAGTTTTTGTAAAAATGAGAAAGAAACATTAGAACACATGTTTTGGTTTTGTCCGATAATAAACAATTTAATATTTTCTGTTTTTGAAAAGTATGGCATTTTTAGATCTTTGCTCAACTGTTGTAACTTTATCCTTGGTTTGAAAGATAGTAATTCAACTGCAATAAATATGATTTTCCTTTTTCTGAAAAGATATATTTACAACTGTAGAGTAAAAGAACAAGTACCAAATACTACAAGAGCACATCAATATATTAAGTACCAATTTATAATTTTGAGAGAGAAAGCAATTTACCAAAATGATTTAGATACCTTCAATAAGACCTGGATTCTTTTTTTGTCAAAAGATAGAGCTATAGTTAACCTTTCATATGTTTGTAAAGCTGAAAACGATAGCCAGAAGTATAAATGATCAAAAATATATTACTTGCAAAACCTGTTTTCTTTCGCTTTTTTTTCCCTTCTTTTTTTAATATAAAAAACAAATATATAATTTAGTTCCTTGTTAACTGAATAATATATAACATATGATTATATGTAACATTGGTAAATATGGTTGTAATTGTATATTGGTCATAACGCCTGCAATACCTTATATGTTTGTTACTGTTATATTATTTCATATGTTTTATATGTTTTTATATACATAAATATAATGTACGGTATAGAGCAGGATGTCCTCGACCTGCATATACCTATTGACGAGGAAAATAAATTATGTAAAAAAAAAATAAAATTTATAACAGGAATATAGTACATAGCCATAAAAGATGAGTGATTGTAAATAATTTAATGCCTAAGATTTTGAAAATATAATGTTCCAGAAATAAATGATTTGCTACAATATTAGCCAATGTTTGAAATTTTTTGCGGTAAAGTACTACAGTAAGACTACCTTAAAATCCAACAAGTCAGGAAAACATCATAATGGCTTCAGTTTTGTGACTTTGAATTCTTTAAGCAGTTTTGAAAAGGAATTTGGAGGAAGTATTTTAGCTGTAAAAGCTGCTGATTAAGATGTTGACAACAATTTTATATAAGATAGCAGCTATTACATACTAATAAAAAATGTTGTTTAAAATCCATGAACACTTAAGTTCATGCAAGATCAGTCATTAATTGTACATAACATGTAAATGATTACTTGAATCTTGAAACTTTTTACTTTTCATAAAATCTTAGTATACTGGTGCCTCATATTTCCGTGGTACTTAACTGTTTAACACAGACAACAAAAGTTAAGAGGACAAAATTCTGGAAAACAAAGTGAATATTGTAGGATAGACATGTCAATTGCATCATAGTTAATTCCATTTAATGTTTGCATGTAAGCAATTATGTATACAACATTGTAATTAACACCCATCTGCAGCCTAGTGAGTAAATTTGTGTTCTCATATTTCCAAGGCAATTACATTTTAACAGTTTCAAAAGCAAAACCAATAGTAAACTTTATTTATTAGTACACCTATGCCTACGCTCATCTGAAAGGAACAATTTTCTCTTTGGCATTTATCAAATACCTCGATGGTTCTTTAAGAAAGAAGATTTTTTTAAAAGGTATGAAATCTAAAAGAAAAATGGTGAAATATTAAATAACTTTGCTCTTAATCTGAATAAAATAATTTTTTAGTTCTATGTGTTACATTTTGATAAAAATACAATAAAATAGTAAAAGTAAAACTACTGGCAGGTTCATTAAGTCTAGGAGGCACTTTAAACTGTTTAAGCCATATACCTTGGAAATATGGGATACCTCGGAAATTATGAGGCACCAGTATACATTTTTCTTAAGTTTGAGTTTTTTGAAATACTTTGGCTCATCTGAAGGCATGCAGCTTTAATATCTCTATAGGACTGTTAAGATACTGAGTTTTTAAAATGAAAAATTATATAAATAATTCATATAAGCTCTTCAGTTGGTTTAAATTTATCCTTCTTAGACTAGTCAAGGTCAGGGAACAAATTTACTTATTTAGGGTATATAGTTATATCTTACAAAATACTTTTATAGAACTAATGAACAGTAAAATTATATTGTTTCCATGATATTATGGTTGATTCTGAAACAATGGTAAAACAAAAAATGTCTCTGTTATTTGATACATATGTACATTTTGAAACATTATAGCATAAAATCGGCTATTTTTCCATCTTTTGCCCATGTTTTAATGGGACCAAAACCATGTGTTAACATAGTCACGTGCTCTTGTTATAGCCCGGTTTTACCTATGCGCAATACATAAAGGGCCCAGTAAACAAAATAAAAATGACCATTTGGCCTACCGGGTCGGGCACCAACCGTTCCTCGGGACTCTGCAGACGTTATAACACGAAAAAACGTGCTAAAACCCTACAGAATAAAATGTTCCAGAACAAAATATTATGCTGCTATTTTAAGTACGAACAAATTTACTTATTTAGGGTATATAGTTATATCTTACAAAATACTTTTATAGAACTAATGAACAGTAAAATTATATTGTTTCCATGATATTATGGTTGATTCTCAAAAAATGGTAAAACAAAAAATGTCTCTGTTATTTGATACATATGTACATTTTGAAACATTATAGCATAAAATCGGCTATTTTTGGCCGGGTTGCACTGGTGCAAACCCGGGTTATAGTATGGTGAATGTCGGGCGGCGGGCGGGCGGGGAAAAACTTTTGTAACAGTTTTCTCAGCAACTACTTATCACAGCCTCTTGATATTTGGTATACAGCATCAACACATGGTCCCATACCGTGGGATTTGATTTCAGGTCTGTCGCTCATCCACTTTCTGTTTATCGACTTAGTTAAATTTTCAACATTAATGGTCAATGGCAGGAAATTTTCGTAACAGTTTTCTCAGCAACTACTCATCACAGCCTCTTGATATTTGGCATACAGCATTGACACGTGGTTCAGGTCTGTCGCTCATCCACTTCCTGTTTATCGACTTAGTTAAATTTTCAACATTAATGGTCAATGGTAGGAAATTTTCGTAACAGTTTTCTCAGTAAGTAGTTATCACAGCCTCTTGATATTTGGTATACAGCATTGACACATTGTCTCATACTGTGGGATATGGTTTCAGGTCTGTCGCTCATCCACTTCCTTTTTAACAACTTAGTTAAATTTTCGACATTAATGGTCAGTGGTAGGAAATTTTCCTAACAGTTTTCTCAGCAACTACTCATCACAGCCTCTTGATATTTGGCATACAGCATTGACACAGGGTTGCATACGGTGGGATTTGATTTCAAATCTGTCGCTCATCCTTTTCCTGTTTATCTACTTAGTTAAATTTCCGACATTAATGGACAATGGTAGGAGGAAATTTTTGTAACAGTTTTCGCAGCAACTACTTATCACAGCTTCTTGATATTTAGCATACAGCATTGCCTCATGGTCCCATACTGTGGGATTTGATTTCAGGTCTGTCGCTCATCCACTTCCTGTTTACCGACTTAGTTAAATTTTTGACATTAATGGTCAATGGTTAACATTTTTTGTAACATCACAGCCTCATGATATTTGGTATACAAATGCAACCCGGCCTTTTCTGTCTTTGACCCATTTTTCCATCTTTTGCCCATGTTATAATGGGACCAAAACCATGTGTTAACATAGTCACATGCTCTTGTTATAGCCCGGTTTTACCTATGCGCAATACATAAAGGGCCCAGTAAACAAACAAAAAAATGACGTTTTGGCCTACCGGGCTCGGGCACCAACCGTTCCTCGAGACTCTGCAGACGTTATAACACGAAAAAACGTGCTTAAACCCTACAGAATAAAATGTTCCAGAACATAGAATATTATGCTGCTATTTTAAGTAGGACTTTGACCATTTAGCAATGACTTAGTGCATGCGCCATTTGCTTTTAAGGCAATAAGATATGTTATTTCTGCCATACAAGTATTTATTTGAAGTATTCATCTTTTTAAATTCAAACTGTACAATAATGTTTTCAGGAAATATAGCTTTATAGACTTTACTATGAAATTGTTGGTTTTTCCCAGGTCAGCCTGCCACTTCTATATGAAATTGTTGTTTTTTCCAGGTCAGCCTGCCACTTCTATATGAAATTGTTGTTTTTTTCCAGGTCAGCCTGCCACTTTAATTTGAAATTGTTATGTTTTTTCCAGGTCAGCCTGCCACTTTTATATGGAATTGTTGTTTTTTCCAGGTCAGCCTGCCACTTTAGGTACACCAGCACCACCTGCACCCCCACCCCCACCACCTGATGCTCAAACTGCCACAAGCCAAGCTGGTTCTTCCTGGGGTGGGAGCTATTCAGCTGGAAGCTATGGGAACCATGCTGGTTACTATGGTTATCCTGCTGGTAGTTATGCAACTCAGGCTGGTACCTATGGTTACACTCAACAGCCAGCTGGATATGGACAACAGCAGACTGGTAACAGTCAGCAGCAGGCTGGTTACAGTCAGCAACAGGCTGGTTACAGCCAGCAACAGGCTGGTTACAGTCAGCCACAGGCCGGTTACAATCAACCGCAGACAGGTTACAATCAACCGCAGACTGGTTACAGTCAACAGCAGCCTGGTTACAGTCAGCAACAGCCTGGTTACAATCAACAGCAGCCTGGTTACAATCAACAGCAGCCTGGTTACAGTCAACAGCAGGCTGGTTACAATCAACAGCAGCCTGGTTACAGTCAAAAGCCGACTGAACCAAGTCAAGTTACAGCTGGTTCTAGTCAGCAGCAGGAGGGTTATAGTACTTCTGGCTATGAAAATAGTCAACAACAGTCAACCTACTCTGGAACCTCAGGTCAACAACAGCCCAGCTACAGCGAAAAGCAGCATCAGCAGAAAACAGGCTACAATCAGCAGAAGGCATCTAGTGATAGTGATCAGTCATCTGGATACAGTCAAAAGCATACTGGATATGGGCAACAACAGGCAAAGGGGTACAGTCAAGGTGATTATGAGCAAAAGAGCTCAAATGAAAATCAGAAAAATAAAAATAATGATTCTAATAATACATATTACAGTGGCATACAGGAAAATAACAGTTATTCTAGTTTACAGAGTGACAGGGGTTCCTATGGCCGTGGTCGTGGAAGGGGTGATAGCAGTCACTCCGGATATGATCAAGACCGTAGGGGATTTTCAGGAAACCGGGGTGGGAGAGGAAGTTACAGAAACAATAATAAAAATTTTGATAGTAATGAAAGTGAACAAGTAGATAATGAAGAAAGTTTAAATGATCAATTTAATGCTAGAAATTACAGGGATGATTCTTGGAGTAAGAACAATAATAGAGGGAGAGGAGGCAGAGAGTTTGGGAGAGGGGAGTATTCCAATAGAGGAAAACAGAGGTTTGAAGGTGGTAGAGGTGTTGGATTAAAAAGTCTATTGAGTGAAGAAATAGACTATAGTGAAAGTTCAGGGGTCAAAAGAGGAGCAAGTCACAGAGGGGGGAAAGGATTTGGGGCTGGAAGAGGGTATAGTGATTGGGATAGGCAAGGTTCTGAGGATCAGTTTGATAGCGAAGAAAACAGTAATAGTCAGGAGAGCTATAGTACAGGCAGAAGTAGAGGTCGGGGATCTGGATCTTTTGGAAAAGGAAACACTAGAGATGGTGCAGGTAGTGAGGGAGGGGGATTTAGTAATGACAATCGAGGTGCTTTTAGAGGAGGTAGAGGTTTCAGTGGAGAGAGAGGAAGATTTGGAAGAGGTCGTGGTTTTGGAAGACAGGAAGATCAAAGTAATGATAATGATGATATAGATTATGAAATGGAAGGAAATCAAGTTAACACTAGAGGTGGTTTTGGAAATCAAGTTAACACTAGAGGTGGTTTTGGAAGAGGCCGTGGTCAAAGAGGAAGAGGCGGATTTGGAAACAATAGAAGTCAATGGGATGATGGTGATGATGATTGGACTCCAGAAGCAGGAAATAATAGAGGTGATTATAGTAGAGGACAAGGTCAAAGAAGCAGAGGTGCCTTTGGAAGGGGTATAGATCAGGGTGATGATAATGAATTTGTAAGAGATGCTGATGAAGGGAACAGAGGAGGTTTCGGAAGAGATGCTGATCAAGGGAACAGAGGAGGTTTTGGAAGAGGTGGAAACAGAGGAAGTTTTGGAAGAGGCAGGGGTGGATTTGGAAGAGGCAATGATCAAGGGAATGATGGTAAGTTTAAAACAGGTGAGGAACAAGATTATAATAAAAGTGGTTTTGGAAGGGGAAACTTTGGAGGTGACAGAGGAGGCTCTAGTGTAGGTAGAGGACAATCTAGTGAAAGAGGAGGCTCTAGTGTAGGTAGAGGACAACCTAGTGAAAGAGGAGGCTTTAGTGGAGGTAGAGGACAACCTAATGAAAGAGGAGGCTTTAGTGTAGGTAGAGGACAACCTAGTGAAAGAGGAGGCTTCAGTGGAGGTAGAGGACAACCTAGTGAAAGAGGAGGCTCTAGTGGAGGCAGAGGACAACCTAGTGAAAGAGGAGGCTTTAGTGTAGGTAGAGGACAACCTAGTGAAAAAGGGACCTTTGGTAGAGGTAACAGAGGTGGAGTTGGTCGTGGGCAAAATCAAGATAATGAACATGGAGGTGCCCAACTTGGCAGAGGCAGGGGAAATCTAGATAAATCTAAAGAACATGCTACTGTTGACAAAACTAAAGTAGAAGTAAAACGTAAAAGTGTTGAATGCTTAGAACTGTCACCAGCTAAGAAAAAGAAAGAAGAGGAGAAGATAGATGTTTTACCATTCATTCAAGCTCACATTGAAGAGCACTGTACTGTTAATGAAGATGCTAGGAAAATTGCAGAGGAAGCCTTGAAGAAAATGATGCAGCCAGCATATTGTGTGTTGTGTAATGCAAGAATGAGTGGTTCACCACAAGCAATGATGCACTATCAAGGGAAAAATCATAATAAAAAAATTAAGAATTTTATAACATGTGGGATGACAAAGTATGTTGAGAAGGTAAAGGAAGATGCAAACAAGACTGAAGAACAAATTGCAAAAGAAAAAGCAGAAGAAGAAGAAAGAAATAGAATTTTGGACCAAAAAGTCGCGGAGGTTTGCAAAAAGTTTTGTATTGTGTTGGCTGTTTGGAAATATGAAGGATGGGTCAATATAAATTTTCAACCTTATGACATTAACGTTTAGATATATAAGATACTAAAACTGTTGCAGGGTTTTGATTTTTATCAGTTTAATGGGTAAAACCTGACATGTCTTCATGCAGCCTACACTTACCTTTTAATCACAGTGAAGTTAGTGCAAATCATTTTTCCTTAGTTAAAAAAAGTTTTTATTTTAAAGAAACATTAATTTTAAGTTCAGTTAGTGTATGATAATTGTGCAAATATAATATAATTATGTCCCTTTAGTCTATTTTCTCTTGGGCAAAAAATCTTTAATTTAATATGTGTGATAAATTCAGGAATTGGTGATTTATTTGTTTTGTAATGTTGTTAGTAAAAAAAGAAATTATTGAATGTGTAATGGAGTAGAGTAGTACTTGGTTTAAGTTTTATTATGCCACCGCAGCATCTGCGATGCGGTGGCATATAGCGATTCACCTGTGTGTGTGTGTGTGTGTTTGTTTGTGTGTGTGTGTGTTATATAGATTATATAGTGAACTTAAAAAATCTTCTTGTGAAAAACCACTTGTCCAATTTCAACCAAACTTGGCAGGATTGTTCCTTGGGTGGAGGGCTTCCAAAGTTGTTCAAAGAATTTCATTCCATGCAGAAATCTGGTTGCCATGGCAACCAAAAGGAATTATAAGAATAAATTTAAAAAATCTTCTTGTAAAGACCCAAAAGGCCTAGAGCTTAGATATTTTGCATAAGGCATTGTCTGGTAGACCTCTAACAAGATTGTTCAAATTTTAGCCCTGGGGTCAAAATTGGCCCCGCCCCAGGGGTCATTGATTTTCACTATGTACATATAGTAAAAACTTAAAATACCGTCTTGTAAAAACCCAAAAGGCCTAGAGCTTAGATATTTTGCATAAGGCATCATCTGGTAGACCCTTACCAAGATTGTTCAAATTATAGCCCTTGGGTCAAAATCGGCCCCGCCCCGGGGTCATTGATTTTCGCTATATGTACATATAGTAAAAACTAAAAACACCTTCTTGTAAAGACCCAAAAGGCCTAGAGCTTAGATATTTTGCATAAGGCATTGTCTGGTAGACCTCTACGCAGATTGTTCAAATTATAGCCCTGGGGTCAAAATCAACCCCGTCCCAGGGGTCATTGGTTTTCCTTATATGTATATAGTAAAAACTTAAAAAAAATTCTTCTAGCAATTGACAAATGCTAGAGGTTAGATATTCTGCATGAAACATTGTGGTGTAAACCTCTAGCAAGATTGTTCAAATTATAGCCCTGGGGTCAAAATTACCCCCGCCCTGGGGGTCATTGATTTCAATATATACATATAGTGAAAAATAAAAAAAATCTTATTGTCTGAAGGTACAAGGCTTAGATCTAGCTTTAATATTTGTTAAATAATATATCATATGAAAGGTACTCTACCAAAGATGTTCAAATTTTGCCTCTTGTGTCAAAATAAGCCCGCCCCTGGGAGCCATAGGTTTATCTTATATGTATATAGTTAAAACTTTAAAAAATCATCTTCTCTAAATTGACAAAGGATAGAGTTAAGATATTTTGCATGAAACATTATGTAGTGAACCTCTAGCAAGATTGTTCAAATTTTAGCCCTGGGTCAAAATTGGTTCCGCCCCAGGGGTCATTGATTTTCATTATGTACATATAGTGAAAAAAAAAATTTGTCTGAAGGTTCAAGGCATAGAGCTTTGATGTTTGATATATAATATCATCTATAGGTCCTCTACCAAAGTTTTTCAAATGTCAAAAATTGGCCCTGCCCGGGGGCAGTGATTCTCATTATGTACACGTAGTAAAAACAGAAAATAAAACAAATGTTTTCTGAATGGGAGAAAGCTATAGCTTAGATATTTGACTTGAAATGTTTTTTGGTGGACCTGTATCAAGATTGATTCTCCCCAAGGGGACAGTGACCTACTTTCTTGTCCTTTGATGTACAGCAATGACATTTTGACCATGTGTACAGTTTTAGTTGTAAAATTAAACTTTGACCTAGATTTTGATGATTTGACCTGCTTTCTTGTCCTTTGATGTACAGCTATGAAATTTGAACCATGCGGTGGCATAGCATTTTTCTCAAATGCAATCTTGTTTTACCTGGATAAATAACAAACTCACAAGCAACATCACTTTGCTGTCCAATTTTCTCTACTTTTAAATGGTTTTTCTCATAACATTTTCTTATCATAAGTTTTTTATCATGAGTGCAGATTTTAGAAAGTCATGGCAATGGGGGGAAAAGTTATAATTTAGTTCATTTTTTCTAAGCCCATAAGCCCTCACAAATTTGCTATTGGATTTCATTCATGTAAAGCAGGTTATTTTTTTTGGGGGGGGGGAGGGGGGGGGTTGGGATGGCTGTAAGATAATTATTTGTGTAACTTTTAAATCTATGTAACAATTCAACTTTAGGTAATACTGAGTGAGCTGTAACCTTCTTTGGTTGACTATGAACATATTTCTTTGTATTTCTTATGATGTAAAGCTTACGAAAACAATTTGTTAAAGAAATGCCATTTAAATAATGAAAATTGTTGCCCTAAAATGCAAGAAATATATTTGATAATAGAATCCCCAGTTGCAGTGGAATACATTACTGGATAAGTTACAGTGAAATTTTACATTAGCAGATATATCTGGCTACTATTGTTATATTACTAGAACTTGAACAACAAGTGAGAAATTACTTAAAGAATGGATGATATCCGGAACACTGCAAATGTGGGTTTTTCCCAGCTTATCTGTAGGTACAAACAAACTATTACAGTTACAGCTTCAAAAATAAGTGCAACAGGTTGACTAATCTATTGTGTTGGGTTACAAGTGCACTGTTAAACTATATCGGTAAAAGTTTGTTTGTACCAATGGATTAGCTGGGAAAAACCCAAATATTCTTAATTCCAAAGTTAGTCTGTTAGCGAGATATAACTTAAACAATAAATGAGATGCTGTTTTATAATTCTTTGGTGAATTGGTCAATGCCTGAAAATTAACATTAATAATTGAATATTTTGCTCTCATTTTGTGAGACTTTGGCTTCATTTCAGTGTTGAGTGTTTCCAAAACACACTTAGAAATATCTTTTTCATTATGGTATCCTTCATGAATGATTCTCCATTGACCAATGGACAATTTTTATTACGCAAGTTTATTTGGAATTTTCTATAACACACAGTTTTCTTGAACAGTTACATTTCAATGTGAGGATTTCCCATCACACACTTTGTGTGACATGTTTAAAATTCAAATACAAATGGTGGGTTGAACTTGGGGTATGAATCATATTCAGTGATAGTTCGAGTTTTACCAACTTGTGGTCATAAATATCTGTTAATGAAAACAAAACTATAATTTATCCAGTCTCCCCTTTTTATGCCCCCATTTCGAAGAAAAGGGGGTATATTGCTTTGCACTTGTCGGTCCGTTGGTCCGTCGGTCCGTAGACCAAATGGTTTCCGAGTGATAACTAAAGAACCTTTAGGCCTAGGAACTTCAAACTTGGTATGGTGATTGGTCATGACCAGTAGATGACCCCTATTGATTTTGGGGTCAAGGGGTCAAAGGTCACATTGACCTGGTAAGCAAAAACGGTTTCCGATCAATAACTAAAGAACCTTAAGGCCTAGGAACTTCAAACTTGGTATGGTGATTGGTCTAGACCAGTAGATGACCCCTATTTATTTTGGGGTCAAAGGGTCAAAGGTCAAGGTCACATTGACCTTGTAAGCAAAAACAGTTTCCGATCAATAACTAAAAAACCTTAAGGCCTAGGAACTTCAAACTTGGTATGGTGATTGGTCATGACCAGTAGATGACCCCTATTGATTTTGGGGTCAAAGGTCAAGGTCACATTGACCTTGTAAGCAAAAACGGTTTCCGATCAATAACTAAAGAACCTTAAGGCCTAGGAACTTCAAACTTGGTATGGTGATTGGTCATGACCAGTAGATGACCCCTATTGATTTTGGGGTCAAAGGGTCAAAGGTCAAGGTCACATTGACCTTGTAAGCAAAAACGGTTTCTGATTATTAACAAAAGAACCCTTAGGCCTAGGAACTTCAAACTTGGTATGGTGATTGTTCATGACCAGCAGATGACCCCTATTGATTTTGGGGTTAAGGGGTCAAAGGTCAAGGTCACATTGACCTTGTAAGCAAAAACGGTTTCCAATCAATAACGAAAGAACCCTTAGGCCTAGGAACTTCAAACTTGGTATTGTGATTGGTCATGACCAGCAGATGACCCCTATTGATTTTGGGGTTAAGGGGTCAAAGGTCAAGGTCACATTGACTTTGTAGGTAAAAACGGTTTCCGATCAATAACGAAAGAACCCTTAGGCCTAAGGACTTCAAACTTGATATGGTGATTGGTCATGATCAGTAGATGACCCCTATTGATTTTGGGGTCAAGGGGTCAAAGGTCAAGATCACATTTACCTCTTAGGTAAAAACGGTTTCCGATCAATAACTAAAGAACCCTTAGGCCTAGGAACTTCAAACTTGGTATGGTGATTGGTCATGACCAGTAGATGACCCCTATTGATATTGGGGTTAAGGGGTCAAAGGTCAAGGTCACATTGACCTTGTATGTTAAAACGGTTTCTGATCAATTAACTAAAAACGCTTAGGCCTAGGAACTTCAAACTTTGTATGATGATTGGTCGTGACCAGCAGATGACCCCTATTGAGTTTTGGGTCAAGGGGTCAAAGGTTAAGGTCATGACCAGTAGATACTTGATAACCCTTATTAATTGTTTGATCACTGGGTCAGAAGTCATGCATAATAACCTTTTCACATGACTAATTGGCTGCTGATAGGGGGCATACATGTTTTACAAACATATCTTGTTAAATTGAGTGTTACTTTATGTTGAAACATTCCCTTTGTTTTGAACAGAGCAAAAGCTTGTCTATGATAACAAAGTACAAATCTTTCCATAATTAGAAGTAATTTATAAAGTGTTTTATATTTTTTTTTACATATCAATCATCGCAAAAAGAGATTTTCAGACTTTTTCATAGGAAGTTAATAAGCAATAATTAACTCTCCGCAGTAATTTAGTTAATGATCTTGTCATGTGGAAGGAATTTGGGTTACTCATTTTCTTTTGATGTCTGCTATGGAGTCTGTTGATCAAAGAGTTCCTCTACTAAAGTACAAAAAAGTACCTACAAAATACTATAAAAACTCTGAAAACAGGACCCTCTAAAAACTGGACTTTTGGTCTAGTCTGAACAGGGTCCAGTTTTCGAAGTTTTTACTGTAGTAATTATGGAAAAAATGATACAGAATGTAGTGAATTTGGAAACTAGACGAATATTTCATACAACATGTTTGAAATACTGTGTACATTAGTGTCACATGATTATATTATATATTCCAAACCTTGTGATAATTGATTACTTCTAATTAGGAAAGGTTAAAGAGGATGCATAGCTTTGGTATGAGTTGTCATTGAAAAGTTGTAATTATATTACATATATATTTTTTTGCTTGACTATTTAAAGAAAAAAGAGAGCTATTGTCAGTGTTGGGTGGCAATTGCTGTCACACTTTTGTTAAGTTTTATTGTACAAGCTTGTATCTCAAGAACTCTCCAAATGGAATATTTTGAAACTTCACACACTTATTTGAGAGCATTATAGGAGGTCACTGTCAAAGGCCCATAACTCTAACACAGATTTTGATGGAATTATGGCCCTTTTTGAACATTATCCAGGCTCATATTTTGTTATCAGGCCCTGAGAATAGCTGAGACTGACAGCTCCTGCTTGTATTGAACAGGTCAGGATGACTCTTTATTTGAAATTTAGACATCAAATTGACTTTGTTTTGACAAAATTCTGCCAAAATGTTGAAATTAATTAATCCCCTTGTTATATGCAAGGAAAAGTCCATGTACAATGTAATTGTTTAGTTTTTGGCTACTCATTGTCACAATTTGTGTATAAACTAATTTGACAGCCTTTGATATGTTACTGTAACAGATAAATGGGGAGAGCTGTGATGATGATATGTATTTTAATTACATGTGTATTTCCATTCATGTTGTTGTTAATTTAGCTAGAAAATTGGGAGGAAGCCCTTTAAATATAGTCAATTTTCCATGAAAAGTCAATTTTATGCTGAAATTTCAGATAGAGATCAGTCTTGGTCAGTTGAGTGCTTGCAATTATTTAAGAGGTCTGCTCTGAAGTCTTTGACTGGTTCTGTTGAAGATTTACCTTTATAGTATTTATACCCCCACCACATAATGTGGAGCGGGCTATACTGGAATCACTTTGGTTGGTCAGGCCATTGGTCCATCTCTCCTGTGCACTTTATTCAACCCCTCAACAAGGCAGTGTGCAGGATCCATGTCTGGTCAAGGTCACTCTTGAAGGTCAAATCCAATTTTGTAGCTCTATAAATCTTATATACATTCAAATGTTAACTTCAAAGAGGTGTTCAGAACCCATGCTGCTGATGTGCCTGGTCAAGGTCATTGTGAAAGGTCAAATGTCAGACAATTTATTGTCCACTCTTTAGATTCTATACCCCTTGAATTACTTTCTTCCAGCTTGGCTCAGCTGTTCACTGAACAAAGCAATATGCAGAACCCATGGTACTGTTGTGCCTGGGTAAGGTCATTCTTGAAAGTCCATTGCCAGAAAATTTTGAGTGGAAAATTTTGTGACCACTATAGATTCAAATTAAGCTGAAATGTTCTACGTCAAAAACAATGATCAATGGTCCTACATAAAATCTTGTGTCAAAGATATGGTTGGAGTATTTGTCGCTCCTGTGGCAGCTCTAGTTGCTTTACTTGCTCAGCTAGGAATTGAACTTTTGGGATGGCTTGATGTTTGTTTTTTCTTTGACCATTATTTTTCCACAATTTATTCGGAGAACATTTTGAAAACCGATAGTGAGATTTTACCATAATGATAAACATATTCTTCTCAGGTGCTATAATACCCTCGGTATTATTATTTATATTTTTGCTTGTGGTCCTCTGTCCATTTGTCGGTTAGCCACATTGGTATATTTTCAAAATCAGTTTTTGAAACAGATTTTATCCAGAACTGGGCAAATGTTGGTTTTCCCAAGCTTATCCTTAGGTACAAACTTTTACCGTAATAGCTTCACATGCACTACCCATCAACCTGTTGCATTTATTTTCGAGGCTGTAACAGTTAAAGTGTTTTTCTACCAACAGATTATCTGGGAAAAAACCCAAATATTCTTATTAGACCTAATCTGGAATTAAGAATATTTGGATTTTTCCCAGCTAAACCGTACAAATAAACTTTTACAGTTAAAGCTTAGAAATTAACAATTGATCTTTCAAGTTTTTTGTAAAAATAAAACTGTAAACACTGGAAATGTCCATTGTGACTGGTAGTGCACCATGAAGCTATAACGGTAAAAGTTTGTTTGAACCAGAGGATTATCATGGAAAAACCCACATTTGCTGAGTTCCAAATAACATCTATTATGGAGTAAGTCTATTTATACCACTTCCAGACTAATGTATGAAAACAAATAACCTGAATATAACCCAATGACCTATGTCTTCATTATGACATTCCATAGCATTCAGGTGGGCAATCTTGGTCTGTCTTGATCCTCTTATCTTTGTTTCTCTTGCTTTACATTGATTTGACTGTATTTATTGAGAACATTCTTCATACTTTAACAGTAAAAAACAAATGAGCCGCGTCATGACAAAACAAACATAATTGGTTTGCGACCAGCATGGATACAGACCAGTCTGCGCATCTGCGCAGTCTGATCAGGATCCATGCTGTTCGCTATCAGTTTCTCTACTTATTATAGGGTTTGTAAGCGAACAGCATGGATCCTGATCAGACTGCGCGGATGTGCAGGCTGGTCTGGATCCATGCTGGTCGCAAACCCATTATGTTGGCTTTGTCATGACACGGCTCAAATCTGCCATGATTATAACATTATAGACTATTCATGAGACAGTAAAAAGTTAGGAAAGTCTTTCACAAGATTTAGTAAGATGTGTATGTGTGGTAAATAAAGTGATCCTCAACAAGCTAAACAGAAGCCAAAGGTCACAGATTTTAGTGTCTATATATTGAAATAAATGTGTCATTTTGAAAGAAAATAGGTCTCCTGTAATTTATCTGTGTTAAGTTTGAATAATGTTCCTTTGAAATACAGTCATGGATAAGAAAGATCAAGAAAAAAGAAGGAAAAGAAAGTATACTGCAACTGGGGTTCTTTATTATAGCAAATATTTACTAGTTTAAAGTGTCATACAATTTATTTTAATACTATAAAAAAAGAAAAGGAGTAAGGTCAGTTTTTGCTGTTTCACTCTGAGCCTTATTTTAGTCCACTCAAAATGCTGAATAGATAGCTTTTTTCCTATAAAACTGTTCAACTACATGTATAAATTTGTGTTCATCTCATACTTTTTTTTCAAATTTATTGAAACAAATTATGTATTAAGCATTTTATTTTGGTATGAAGTAAGTCTCTGTGGGTTATGGTAAAAATTGACTTGGTTTTGTTTTCTTTACATTCTATATATTTAACTTTAGACACAATTTTATGTCTAGATATTTGTTGTATTTTTAAATTTTTTGATATACATCAAACTCTTAATTTCTTGGTACTAAACACAATGTATTTCTTGGAGCTTTGAAAACTTGCTTGCATTGTTTCCTGAAAAGCGATTTCAAGCAATATCATAGTTATTGTTATATACATTTTCTGCAAATAAATTGAAACATACTAGGGGCGGAAGTCAAACAGTATGCTTGCCTATTTTCAGTGCTATATAGTAAAACAAGAGTCATGCTGGAATAAAATGTATGCATCTTGAAAAGGTACCAACAAGTACAACTTGAGCGGCATTTGTAATGTTTCAAATGAAATCTTTCAGAGGATGTGGAGATAAAACTTGCATAAAAAAGGGAATGATTTAATTACCCAAGTTATTGGGCAATTGTCTTTATTAAAAAATTTTATAATTAATCATACATGTAAAGCATAATTATTTATTATTTTGTCTATTTGAAGACCCTGGCACCAGTCTTATCAATGATCTTAACATTTTGGAAATATAAGACACTGTCCAAATTGTATGTCAATGGTACGATAATTATGATGTTTATATCACATTTAGTTTTGTCTGCAACTTGATTTATCCATAGCAACTGGAAGCATTCTGCTGAAACTTCATGTGATGCTTTGGGATGATAGTTATTGGTCACTGTTTTAGACACATTTATCTGATATGAACATTTACTGAATTTTTTTTTTATAAATACCTGGTTAAGGATTTGCATTGTACGATTTATCGTCCCAATCGTTATTATTCATTTGAAACTAAACAAATCATAATTGAATAAGGCCCATAGACCTTATAGATGTTTTTCCTGAAGCCTTATTTTTAAACTTCATTGCTATTGTTTTACCATATAGCACTGAAAATAGTGGAGCATGCTGGCTATTTGACACATTTGGTTGGTCCCTTTTGAAAAATTGGAGGAGGCATATGAGCTGCGCCATGACAAAACCAACATAATGGGTTTGCGACCAGCATGGATCCAGACCAGCCTGCACATCCACGCAGTCTGATCAGGATCCATGCTGTTTGCTTACAGACCCTATAACAAGTAGAGAAACTGATAGCGAACAGCATGGATCCTGATCAGACTGCGCAGATGCACAGGCTGGGCTGGTCGCAAACGCACAATGTTGGTTTTGTCATGACGCGGATCATAGTTTTTGCTGCATCTGTCCCTGTGTTTTTCCAATGTTTGTGTCCTGTCAATGAATATGTCAGTTATGTATGAATTTTGAAAATAATTTAATGAAGTCTTTTATTTAACATATAATCTAACATTGGGTATTTCTAGGGTGCACTGCGAGTGAAAGAAAATTTACTAAGTTTGGCTCAATATGATATAATACCCAGAAGGCCTCCTGGACAGGTGAGTAATTCATTTAGTTGTACACTTTCATGCATACCCTCCAGATGAGCCAAAATATTTCAAGAAATTAAATCTTTAGAAAAATGTATTAAGATCTTAAGAAAAGTAAAAAGATTCAATACTTTTATTTTTGCTAAGATCCATTCTTCAGAGTTTTAAATTTGGAATGCATTTCTAAAGGGAAGGTAACCTTAAGATTTATTTTTGGTTGTACATTTTTCAAAATCTATGAGCTAGGGGATTGGTTAGCCTAGTGGTTAAAGTGTCTACCTCTCAACCCAGGGATCATGGATTCAAGCCTTACCCAGGTCACGACCATGTTTCCTTATATGACACCAGTACTGGTAAGTTCCAGGAAGATGACTCAGTAATGAATAATATCAGTTGCAAGCACTTGTTTCATAATAAATCTAAAAAATGAATAAGTTTAGTTAACTAAAACTCAAAATCTGTCATGAAATTGTGCAGTATAAATTTTAAAATTCATTTCTAAGGAGCAGATAATTCCAAGTCATAGGATCAATCCCACCAGAGACTGGATTCTTTAATGTGTGGAACCTATTCAGGTAGCTTACAGAATGTTATTGGTTCTACTCTTGTGCCTTCATCAGTAAAGCTGGAAAGTCGCCATATAACCTCAACTGTGTTGGTACGAAATAAAACCCAACAAACAAACACAAATTTAAAAGACAATTTATTATTGTTTAAGATATAATTGTATAAAACATGCAAAACGATTGTATATATTGTATGGCAGGCGAGAGAAATGGTTCCTATAGATGATCAAGATCCGAAGTTCTGTAAGGTATGTTGTGTAGAATTCTCGGCACCTTCCCAAGCCACTCAGCATTATGACGGGAAAAATCATCAGAAACGTCTTAAACAACTTGGTCCTGGAGCCGCAGAGGAATTGTAAGTACTTTTTTGTTTTGTTTGTTTGTTTGTTTCATTTTACGCCTTTTCCCAACAGTATTTCAGTCATATAGGTGGGTAGTTTCCTGACCATCGTTCCTGGACAGTTACACCAGTACTAGACTACCTTCCTCTGTGCTAAACTGCCAAAGCATCTACCGGGGATCAAACCCGTGCCATAGAGGTAACTGGATTAGAAGTCATCTACTCTAACCCCTTGACCATGGAGGTGGTTGCATAACTACAGAAGATTAAGTATTGACTTAAACTTTCAAATGATTGAGTCACTAAGATTATTTAAATGATGTGCATTAATTTCATTTTTTCATTTTCAGAGGAAACTTTGTGTGTGAGACCTGTAATGTTCGTGTTACATCACAAGAAATTCTGACCCAGCATATGAATGGGGCAAAACACAAGTCCAAGGTTGCTAGAGAGAAAAACTTGAAGGTTAAAAAAGAGGATTACATTGTGCCAGAAGGTGGATTGGTTGTTGAAGGAGGTCCAATGTTAAGACCGGGTAGGTTAAATGTGCATTATAATTGGTTTTATGTTGTGAACTTATGCTCCAAGTTTGGACTTATTGCTTGTGGTAAATGTTTTAGACTTTAAACCACTTTCCCCTCATGGCATCCTGCCAGTGGATTAGATTATTTCAGATGTGGAAGCTATCCAGCCAGCTTACTAAATGTAAGTAGTTCTATTCAGGTGCCCGTTTGTGCCTTGAATAATGCACAAAGGGGCACCTGAGGTCTTTCTCCACCAGTACAGTTGGAAAGTCGCCATATGACCTTAATAGTGTTAATGTAACATAAAACCCAACCAAAAAAACAAAACAAGATTGTTTTACATTTGGTCCAAGTCTGTCTCATAGATTGTTCTACATATGCAAATGGTCTTTCTTAAGATTGATTTACAATTCTATCTTATATACAGTAAAAACTCTGAAAACTGGAATCCTCTGAAAACCTGACCATTTTAAAAGTCCCGTAAATTCTCCTTATATGTTTATTGAAAAAAAATCCTCTGAATACTGGAACCTCTGAATTCCGAGAACCGGACGATTTTCTATGGTTTCTAATGCTAAACATGCATAAAAAAATCCTCTGAAAACCGGACAGCAATTTTAAGTGTCAACTCTCTCTGTATTTTAATGTAGATTAAAACATAATCTCATCTGGTAACATGTTCAATTACCAATTAATGATCACCTTCTTTTTATCTATGCAGGTGTGAAAACACTTGTCAGTGTGTGTTAATTTCTAATTGGCAATTAAATTGAAGCTCTTCCATCATAATTGTGTCTTTCCCTGTATAGACATGGTTTTTCAGAATGTTGTTAATTTGTTTTGTGATTTTTTTTAATATAAAATGTCTAGCAGAATTGAGAAACTTTCGTTAAATGATTCCTGTTTTGCTTAAAATTTTGACCTTGAAGTTATCCTTGTTTTGATATAAATTAGACTCTATATATGCAAAATATCAATACTAAATTCCATTAATTACATTTTTCAAAAGCCATTTAAAAAGATATCTTTCAGACAATATGTTGTTTTAATTTCTGATTTTCTGAACTATATACCTTGAACATGGATTTGCATAATAAAATTACTTAAGACATTTATTGCAAAAAGAAATTAAAATATGACTAAGAAAAAAGTGTTGAAAAGTAAATGATAGAACAAAGTCACTGTTCAAGCACATCATAATAATAATGTATAAAACCTCTGAAAACCGGAATCCTCTAAAAACCGGACTTTTGGTCAAGCCCGTGCAGGGTCCGGTTTTCAGAGTTTTTACAGTACATGTATGTAGCTTGTTTTACCTGAAGTGGAAGTTTGCCTCATAGATTGTTTTTCACATAGTCCCAGTCTGTCTCATAGATTGTTTTACATATTGTACCAGTCTGTCTCATACATTGTTTTACATATTGTACCAGTCTGTCTCATAGATTGTTTTACATATTGTACCAGTCTGTCTCATAGATTGTTTTACATATTGTACCAGTCTGTCTTATAGATTGTTTTACATATTGTACCAGTCTGTCTCATAGATTGTTTTACATATTGTACCAGTCTGTCTCATAGATTGTTTTACATATTGTACCAGTCTGTCTCATAGATTGTTTTACATATTGTACCAGTCTGTCTCATAGATTGTTTTACATATTGTACCAGTCTGTCTCATAGATTGTTTTACATATTGTACCAGTCTGTCTCATACATTGTTTTACATATTGTACCAGTCTGTCTCATAGATTGTTTTACATATTGTACCAGTCTGTCTCATAGATTGTTTTACATATTGTACCAGTCTGTCTCATAGATTGTTTTACATATTGTACCAGTCTGTCTCATAGATTGTTTTACATATTGTACCAGTCTGTCTCATACATTGTTTTACATATTGTACCAGTCTGTCTCATAGATTGTTTTACATATTGTACCAGTCTGTCTCATAGATTGTTTTACATATTGTACCAGTCTGTCTCATACATTGTTTTACATATTGTACCAGTCTGTCTCATACATTGTTTTACATATTGTACCAGTCTGTATCATACATTGTTTTACATATTGTACCAGTCTGTCTCATAGATTGTTTTACATATTGTACCAGTCTGTCTCATAGATTGTTTTACATATGGTCCCAGTCTGTGTCAAATTTACACATGGTCCCAGTCTGTCACATAGATTGTTTTACATATTGTGCCAGTCTGTCTGTCATAGATTGTTTAACATATTGTGCCAGTCTGTCTGTCATAGATTGTTTTATGTATGGTCCCAGTCTGTCTCATAGATTGTTTTACACATGGTCCCAGTCTGTCACATAGATTGTTTTACATATTGTGCCAGTCTGTCTGTCATAGATTGTTTTACATATTGTACCAGTCTGTCTCTCATAGATTGTTTTACATATTGTACCAGTCTGTCTCTCATAGATTGTTTTATGTATGGTCCCAGTCTGTCTCATAGATTGGTATGCATGTCAATGATTGTTTACATGTGATCCAAGTTTGTATTATAGACTGTTTTACAATAACTTACATATGTTTGAAGTTTAGATAATAGATTATTATAATCCCCTTGCCCCTCAAAGAAAGTTTGAAAGGGGATATACTGGAGTCAGCTTGTTCCCTAACCAGTTTGCACATGTAATCTTTTGAATGCTACTCTTCCTACATTATAAGCTAGAAAACCTTTAAATCTTACATAAATTGTTTTTACCAACAAATATGAAACTTCCTTATTAAGACAATGCTTTACATTAATCAAAGACTCTTTTCTTAAACTGTGTTTATAAAAGATGATGTATGTTGTGTTTAAGGTGCCTATATGTATTCTTTTTTCGCTCGACTATTTGAAGAAAAAACATGGGTTAACTAACTAATCCAGTTTTAGGCATAACATGTGGTTAAGAGTTTGCCACTGGAAACTTCACACAGTGTATTTTTAGTTTATTCACCATCACCATTTGAATGAACCGTACAGATGAACATAAATTTCACACAGGTCTTAAGGATTATATTTGTAGGTAACTGGCCAAGACAAGGATTTTATTTGAATTTTATACCCGTTTGTAAATTTTAAAAAAAAATGATATTAGTATTTGCATGGAAATTCTATTACTACAACCACTAAATGGTATTCACTTAAAACTTTACACATGTCTTTAAAGCTATATGTCAAACGGCCTGTAGTTTACAAAATTCTTGATTGACTTTTAAAAAATAATACCTCTAAAATACTTTTATACATGTATAAGAAAAATTACTAAGTAAAAGCAAGTTGTGCATACACAAAATCATTAATAGAACGGTTGAATTCCTACTTAAAAAAGAAGCATTATATTTGGTTAACATCTTATTCTGTAAACATATAATATTCATAAGCAATAAATTATAGAGACATTCTATGTTGTAACTCTTATTATAATTAACCATTACAGTATGTAACGAACAAAAATTCAACTATTTATATATTCTATAAGAAAATTTAATTAGATAAAATGTTATACCATTTAAGATTGTATGAGTAAGACACTGACCCTGACCAATGTTTCAGCATGCATTTTGATTGAGTTGTGATCCTGTCTTGAATGGCCCTTGTAATACTGTCAAGGTCTGAGAATAGTGTATGTACTGTCTCTAGGACATATGAGCCGTGTCATGACAAAACCAACGTAATGCGTTTGCGACCAGCATGGATCCAGACCAGCCTGCGCATCCGCGCAGTCTGATCAGGATCCATGCTGTTCGCTAGCAGTTTCTTTACTTGTTATAGGGTCTGTAAGCGAACAGCATGGATCCTGATCAGACTGCGCAGATGCGCAGGCTGGTCTGAATTCATGCTGGTCGCAAACCCATTATGTTGGTTTTGTCATGAATTGGCTCATATCTTATTGATACATCATATTGACTAGAGAGACATTGTTTAGATGAAGACAATTCAGTTATTTAACTTGTATGATATTATTTACATGTATGCCATTATCCTATTTTCCCTGATTGAAATGTGTAGTAGTTATTTTATGGAGCATTCTTACCAATGTATTTTGCTAAAGCCTTTTTATGCCCCCGGGTATATAGTAATTGAACCGTCCCGTCAGTACGAGGTCAACCTAAATCAGCAAGTTGGAGTTATCTTATGTTCTACCTGTACCAATGGCGTCATAATTTACACACTTAATAATCAATACAAAGTGAATGATCTTGGCAAGTTACATAAATATGGCTTTCATCTTTTCCAAGTCATGTTCTTTCTGTACTAATGGCTTCATGATTTCAATACTTACTTAACAATACAAAGTACAAGTCATGATAGTACCAAGTTATATAACTCTGCCATTCATTTTTCCAGGTAATTCACTTTTCATCACTTTTAAAATAGGACCTGGTATGGTAAACCTCTTTTGGGAAGTTGGGTTTATTTTAAATTTCTCCTTATTACTTCATTTATTCCATATTTGGTAGGTGGATACATGTAATTGTCCTATGGAGTAAGGGGTCACTGGGGTCAAGGTCAACTGGTGGAAAAAAATAATTTTATACATTTTTGTTGATACAGCCTTTATTTTTAAAAATAATAATAATGACGTCTTTCATGTTAAATATGGACATGCTTATGGAGGTCCTCTTCCTTCGAGTATAGTTAGGTGTTATTTGGGTCAAGGGTGCCAATAAAAAATTACATCACATATGCTTATACAGCCTTTGTCTATTGACTGAATCAGATGTTTTTCATATTTGGTTGGAAGGTAACTTGTGTGATCTTCTTCCTTTGATTGAGTTAGGGGTCAGGGGGTCAATGTTAGGGGTGCAAATTTGGATATCTACACAATTATTGCTTAAACAGCCTTGGAAGGAACATACCTTGGTCCAGTGATGGGAGTCACAAGGTCAAGGTCACCTGTGCCAACAATAGATATATTTTACACTTTTTCTTATACAGTCTTAAAGTCTTTAACAGTAACAAAAAGTCATTACTCTGTCAAGTTATATAACTGTGTTTGGTATTTTTT